TTAGACAATTTTCTAAATTATGATAAATAATAAATAATAAATATAATGGTTTCTATTACTCCATAATCATTTATTATTCTTTTTTTGTAATTTACAATAGAGTTAAAATGGACCATTCCTTCCAATAAATAGATAAGGGTTAGGAATTTTAGGTCAGTTGAAATGAGGGCCAAAAAGCAGTACAAAAAGTTACCATTTTGCCCATGGCCACAATGTTTGCCTTTAGTGTAACTACATATCTTTTCCCATAACTACAATGATACCTTTTCATTGATCACATTTTTAGCTTTATTTCTAAATTAAATATATTTATTTTTAAATAAAATTCATATTTTTTTCTTTCGAACTTGGTTGTTTTTCAAGACGAGTGGCTAAAGACCCTGGAACCGTCATCAAAACTTTGAAATCCATATGCTCGTTGATTAAGGTTTACAACTACTGTCTTGTGTTAGTTGAATGAAAATATAATATATGTTTTATTCATAATTTTGATATGATTACATGACAATAAACATGTTACGTTTTTGTAAGTGAAATTATATATGTTATATACGAACATCTCCAATGGAAGGTTTTTATAAGTAAAAAAGTGTGTGTTCTTATAAGAACTGCCATTAAAGAGAGTTCTTATAAGCACATTGCATCTCTTTGAGTTCATGTACATAAACTTTGGTTCTAATTTTGAACTTGGCGTGAAGTGACATTTTATTATCATTTCATGCATTTTCTTGCCCTTATATAATTATTAATATGTGTATATTTATTTAACTTATATCATACAGGAACCCACATTGAGGAGTTCTTGTAAGAACTATGATTGTGAAGTTTTATGTAGCTTCTTAATTTGATGCATTCGAAATGAAATGACAAAAAAAGTACCAAAAGTTGGTACTAATTAAGAACCTCCTGGTGGCCACGGAGGTTCAAATGTGGTGACATATATATATATATATATATATATATATATAAACCTCTTTTGTGGCCACGGAGGTTTAAATGCGGTGACTCTGGACTATCTGCAAAGCAGGTGGTCATCCTGTGATTAATCGGCTTGCATAGCGGGTTGGATATCCAGGTTAATAAAAAAAAACTTTCAACCAATATATTCATCTATTATTAAAATTTGGAAAGTCAAACAGACCGTAAAATAATAATTTTGTTTTTACTTGTTTTATATTAAATAAAAAAATTCAGGGTATGCATGCATATAAGCGGTAGTCTATGTATCTTGACAACGAGTATCAAACCTACACACTATTTCAAAAGACTCGATTACTATTATTTAAGCCAAAAGGTATTGGTTTCATTTTCTACTAGTTTTCATCGTTTTACTTTGAATCTCAAAAGATTTAATGTGAACTAAAAAAAACGTAAATTGATGTATACAGATTAAATGGTATCGTGACACATCACATTCACACGATACCAAGTCGATGTAATTCAAGAGAAGGACATTACTAACGGACCCAAGAAGAGGCTGGCATGTGTGATTCCCTCCCCCCCCCCCTCCCTCCCTCCCTCTATCTCAAATTGATCTGATCGAACCCTGGACACTCAACCGCAAGAGAAAATACACGATCCCTGACACTTCATGTAACGAACGTCTGTAAAATGGTAAACTAAAAAAATATCTGATATATGTAAAATAAAAATAACAACCGATTTATAAAATTTATATAAAATATTACGTGATTTTTTTATTGATATAAATCTTTTGTTATAAAATATTCTTAATAAATTAATTATTAACAAACGACGAACAAACAATAAAGGAAAAGAACACTTTCCTATGGGCAATATGGTAATTTTGAGGCAAATGTGCACGGGAAATTTGCTCAAGACCAAATCCACAACAAACTTGCAGCAAGGAGAACAATAAGCGTGTTACTGTAACCACACAAGAATCAAGTTACCGTTTAGTCCTTCACCGGCTATTACCGGTAAAACCGGTGGCACCAATGAAAAATATAAAAGGCGGCGTACAACAAGCTGAAAGCTGGTAGAAGGTATATTTGTAGATCTGTTATAACGGTGCCGTCAACAACCCCCGTTAGAAAAGTAGAGAGAGAAAGTGTGTGAGTGCGTGAAAGCCAGGACCACACACACTCTTTGATAAGAAGCTTTCAAACGGAATCCCTGCCATCAGCCTCGTCGTCGTCATCATCGCCACCACTCTCTCTCTCTCTCTCATCTCTGAAACTAACAAAACAGAAAAATCACAGAAGAAGATATTATTCTCCATTGAAGAGCGAATTAATTAAGGTACGTACCAGCTGATTTGACATCGGAGTATAGATATTATGGATGTGTATGTGTAAATGGGAAAGTATACAAGGAAGTGCAGTAAAGGTTGTAGTGGAGGTGGCGAGGTAGCGGTAATGGAGGTTGTGCAGGCAGGAGTGAGGACTAGAGGTAGAGCTATGGCCGTGGAGGAAGCCGCGGATAATTCTGGATCCGCGAAGAGAAGGAAGGTCGATAATGGAGAATTGAGGTTGTCTTCTTCAAAGTCGGAACGAATCAAAGCTCGTGAAGATATCCTTACTGTATCCAAAATTTTTGGTGATTCGGCCCCGGAGAAGGATGATTTGAGCGATCCATGCGCTGACGCAAGGAGCCTTAGCTCCGGTGATGTTCCGGCGTCTTGTTGTTCGAGTAACGGATCAATTACGGAGAAACTGAAATGTGCAGATCTGGAGGTATGTGTGTATGAACAATCCTTTCGATTTTTATTTATTTCTCTCTCTCATGATTTCTCCATCAATTTTTTTGAATTTTGAATTTTGATTGCAGGAGAGGGCAGAAATTGTAACAACTGTGAGATTCAATTTGGACAGAAGAGAAAGGTTTAATGAGACTTTAATTAATTGGCTTGTTTGCGTACATGTTCTCTATTCGCATATCTTTTTAGTTCGTTCAAATTTTTAAAAAAGGAATATCTGTGATCGTAACGTCGTCCGTTATAATTTCATTCGTCCTCTAAAACCAATTCAAAACACACACACACACACACACCCGCACTCTCTCTCTCTCTCTCTCTCTCACTCTCTTAACTTTGATGGCTGGTTCTTTCAGCACACCGACAAGCGAGTTTAAGGAGGAATCAAGCGAACTTGAGTCATCGACCACAGCAAAACCGTCGGTGCGTATTGATTCTCGCCGTGCAATTATACCAGTGGAGAAGATGCCTCCTGCAGCTGAACTTGAAGAGTTCTTCGCTTCTGCGGAAAAAGACCTCCATAAAAGTTTCAAAGACAAGTAAGTTACTCAATTATATGTGCTTATAGAGTAGAAAATTGAACTAAACAAGTAAACAATAGGCTGAACGATATGTATTGAATTTGCAGGTATAATTACGACATTGTAAATGATGTTCCAATGAAAGGCCGTTTTGAATGGGTTCAACTGAAGCCATGAAATGTGAAGATGGATGATGCTTGATTAAGAACTTAACACCGCCGTTGTAAAAACTGTTTCTAAAATTTAGAAACAAACGTACAGTACGTAGTGCATTTTAATTTAATCGATCTTTCCTATTTCTTTTTTCTTAACTTCAATCGTCTTTCACTACTAGCTAGTTGATTACCTTGCCAGATCTTTAGAAATTCCAGTTTCATTAACTTGCATTTTCATCGTTCATAAATTCTATTCCATGTTAAGTACATGTGGTAGGTACTTTTTTTTATGGATGCGTGCAGTTCTATGTGTGGTCATGTGTTTGTCCGTGGGGGATGGGTTTGAAGAAGGAGAAAAGCTTTCTCAGGATAGCTAGAGTTCGAACCCAAAATGAGGAAGAAGGAACAGTTCGAAATATAGTGATTTAGTGCATTGTACTTCTTCTCCCCCATACATTTCGTTTCTGTCGATCTCTGCGATTCTTTCAGATCATAAACGTACAAGTGATGCGTTACGTTCTCATAGGTAATTACTCCTACCTCTTTCCTCTTCTCAATTATCCACTAACTTTACAGTGGAATATTCCCATTTTATTCACTGTAAGGTAGTATCTATATAAATTAATAATTAAGATAGAGATATATATATATATATATATATATATATATGCCTTGCGCATATTTTGTACAGATTAAGATATTTATTTTAATTTCAAAATCATTATCTTATCAACTCCAACGTTATTACTTGTAAACTCTAATTTGGTAAATTGTAAAGTCAAATTATCAATTTGTACTTGATGACAAAGACGAAGAATCGTGGGAGAATAAGAATTAGAGTGAGAAACGTAAGAGTTTTGAACCCTCGATCACTTTTAATCTCACCACTCCATGAATTATGCTTGATACGTCCGGATCTTTAGTATTGATCTAACGATAGACATCCCTTCTTACTATAACTTTCGTTCTCACTGAAATTGTATAATTATAGTAATTACTAGTAGTGTATATGATTGCTTTAATTAAAGTTTAGCATCTAACTTGAAAAAGAATTATCTGGCTCGTCCTTTTTTTTTTTTGATATGACGAAGGGATTTATACACATGAATTATCAAGAATGGAAATTAGAGGGAAAAAAAAAAAGAATTGATAGTGAACACATTTATGGAAAGAAGATGGAGTAGCAGAGAGGTGAAAGGGTAGTTTGTTTGATAGAAGGCAGAAGCTGTTAGTGGAGGAGATGGGGGCGGGGGTACAAGAAATACTGACGCCTTGCCGTGTAAGGTACGGACACGTGTAATCATAGAACTGACTCCCATGTGGATGCATCGTTGGCATAATATAATGTATATATCTTTCTGTGCGGGTTATTAATCCGGCTGTTCCCTCTCCTAAAGTAGAGCATGCTACCACTACTGCCAAAAGGTTGCAACATTACTTGAATAATACCTCTCAAATTATCATTATCACTACATTTATTCTTTTAAATATTAACAAACTTGTATATACAAAAAACTACTTTTCAGAAATAAGTTCGAATAATATAATACATACTTTCTCAGTTTCAAATGATATAAATTGTGTGTGTTATTATAAATATTACTAATTTTTAATTAGATAAAAGTTAAATTGAATGTACATAATTATCATAAAGCCTTGATGTTTAAACACAGTTTTTTTTTAAGTGTTTGTATTATTTTACTAGTTTTTTTTCTTATAATAATTTTTAATTTGATAAATGTTAAAGTTAAAAATACGTAATTATTCATCGTTACCACAATTGACAATGTTTATCTATTTATTTTAATCCATTTATGTCGTTATCAACACTGTAATTTTAAAGTATTTGGGTTGTGATGCACTGGTTAATACCTAAAAGGTGTAGCGAAAGATTCAAATATTTCTCGGGTTTGAATTTAGTTATCGTCTACGAATAATTCATGATTACCCAAAGGATTAATTAGTGCATATAAATTGAAACAATTATATTTTGACTTTCAAATTAAAGGGGTTCAAACCCGTTGACATACCAAACTTTGAACCACATGGCTAACTTTGTTTCTATGTACATGTATATATTTTAAAATTAAAAAAAAAACAATTTTTCTCTTAACCCTAACTACTATCAAGAATTACAGACCTCGATGAGAAGGGTATAAGACTTAATGGTTGTGATCTTGGAGGATGTGATGAAATATCCTATTTAGTCAGGGTTCAATTTCAAGTTTATACAACAATTATGACTACTGAGTTTATCAATGCTAATTTCTAACAGTGACAATTGTCAAAATTAGTCTAGACATAGCCTGGACATCCTTCTAGAAATAATTATTAACCTCCAAAGCTGTAGCATCTATGTTCATATAATTTGCAAGGTCTACTTAGGAGTTTTCTATACCAGAGTATAACAACAAACATTAGATTTAAGGGAAAAAAAGTATTGAATATACATACATGCCAATGTAATATCGTACTTTGCAAATTATTTTAAATAATTTACATTCGAAAGGTTGTCCATTGATTTTGGTACCATCCACTTGAAACCGAACTACAATGGCCAAATGTGCCAACTCCATTCACAAAGCATTGATAAAACGAAATTAATAGAAAGAGTGGCATGCAATTAACCCTTTTCAAGCTTTGGTACAAATGTTGGAAAGATGTACTTGGACAATAAATAACATTTAAATACATTCAATGTTTTTTTTCTTCTAGTATTCTTCTCCCATAACTAGTTGTGTATCCGTGCAATGCGGTGGGAATGATTTTAAAGTTCCACTAGTTTTATAAGATAAGATTTAACAATGATATAAGTTATACTTGGTCTTTACATATTAATACAATTTGAATAAATAAGAGTTATGGTTCCAATTACAAACTATCGATGAAAAAAATTGTATGACAGTTTAAAATCCAATATATTTAAAATTCAACATATTTAAACGACTCCACAAATGTATTCGATTTACACCAAGAGCAAAGAACCAAGGAACTTGAGTTTTAAGATAAACACTCAAAACCAATAAAGAAAACTACAAATTTGACAGATCATAAGCCATGAAAAGACAAAAAAGATGGGTTTTAAAATAAAATTTCAACTGCTTACCCTATTTCTTGTCCAAAAACTCAGATTAAGGTTGAATTAGTACATGTATATATATATATATATTTAAAAAAAACCCAAGAACATATGAATTCAAAACATATTATACAGTGCAATTTGGACAGCCTAACCCCAAAATATATAGTATATATATAAATAAATAACTATAAAAGTATAAATCGTAAATATTAAAAATATTTTTTCACAGTATATATAATATATAATAATATAATTAAGTTAAAAACTATTTAATATTGGACTCATTTCGAAGGTATTAACGAGCCGATTATGATAGTGTAACTTGTTAAAATAAAAATGTATTTTTTAAACATGTTTTAATTGATATACAATTATGTATGTTAATTTGATAAAGATTTAAAATGAAACATTTAAAAGTAAAGGACGTAAAATAATTAATTAATTAATTATAGGAGTATAAAGTGTAAATTTAAAATTATAATTTAAAAAAATGGTTGTGAGAGGGTGAGTGTATGTGAGGAGAGGAGTGAGTGAAAAAGTAAGTATAAAAGGTATTTTAGTCATTTAGTATTTTAAGATTTTAAGACTTTTGTTAAATTTGTTTAATAAGATAGTATAGATTAAATCTTTTTTTGTTATTTTTTATGGTAGTTTTAGATAAAATAGTTGATTATCGACAACCTTAATTGGTCTTGTATAGAGCCCGACTCTAGTGACATTAATTTGATAGAATATTTTTGGACTCACTCAACGGCTGAAGTTAGCGGAACCTACGATCAAATCTTAGAGTTGTCTTGTATTTGAACAAAGTCGTCCCACCCAGTGACGGACTTAGCTTGAGAGGTCGGAGGGTGGGAGGGGAGGCCCCACTAAAATGTCATTTTTTCAATATAACGAAGGTATTTTTTTTACTCTTATATGTCCTTAGTCTCCCCATTCCTTTTCGACGATTCCCCCAGTGCCCCAATCCGTTTTGACAAAACCCTCACTCCCTCGCTTGACAATCGTTACCCCCAGTCAATTTCGTGTTCTTCTAGTTTATAAATATATCAAATCATGTAATGTTAAATTTATGAATGTTCAAACCAATTCATCTAAAAGGAAATTATATAAATTAAATAATAATATAATTTGCTATTCGGTTAACCGATATGGTAAAAAAATGTTGAAATCGAAACTTATCTTATTTGATTAACCGAACGGTTTTAACCCCCAAATTGAATAACCCACAAACCGTTTTTGGTTCGGATGAGTTGTTTAGTTTCAAATTTTTTATAGCAAAGGACCCCTAGTCACCTAAGTCTCTGGTTCCGCTACTGGTCTCACCCCTTTGCCAACTAAGCTACATGACGAAGGCTTCCTTGTGTGTGTGTTATTATTAATAAGAGAATGCAAGTGTACCAAATTTGAGATCATTGCATACATCTCTTTCATGTGATCATACAAGAGGTGAACTGTAAAAAAAGACGACCGATGAGGTATTACCTAGATATCTGACATAAGCATACAATAAAAAGTAAAAGAAAATCTTTAAACTAAAAAGAAAGAGTAAAGGCTCTATATATATATGTGTGTGTGTGTGTGTGTGTGTGTAAGCAAAGAGATAACAACAAATAGAGACTAAATAGAAATATAACACATAATGAAGAATCCTAAATGATCTTGATGTGACTTGATATGACCCGACATATCTTGTACATAGTTTGGTGTGAAATTAGTCTGTCTTTATGTTTATGACTTATCATAGGCCTGCGATCAAATCACGAGTAGCTTTGTTGGATTGTTTATATGAACAAATAATCATTCTGCTGTTTCTTAAAATAAGCGTTTCTAATTTTTCGAAATAAGCATCTAATCACTTACTAAAATTGATCCCCCAAATTTAGACCATAATTATATAAAAGAACATTTAGGAGGGTTGAAAGTGTTAATTGTTAAAAGTTAAAAATGAAAGATTATGATTGCAGAGGAGGTGGAATCTTTGACTTCAAATCCAAGGGGTTTAAGTTGGCAAAGTTCTTAAGTTTGGGGACCTGTTTATGAATGATGATGGAAAAAATCCGATAGATTTCTCGTTTACTCAGAGCTAACTCAACGGTTGAGCTTAGTAGAGGGGTTTAAACCCGTCTCCCGTAAGAGTCGAACTT